TTTACTATTGATTCGAATCAAATCAAATATTTGAATACTTGATTTAAATTTGATCGAATCGAATCAAACATTGATTTGGATTTGATTAAATAAATCATTCTTTGATTTGAATTTGATCATATCAAATCAAATATAAATTTGAATTTGAATTTGATTTGATTTTCAAATCAAATATTCAAATATCAAATCGAATTACAGAACCCTAATGTTTGGATTAATAGTTATAAAGTTATAAATGTTTTTTGTGATTGTATTATCTCACGAAATATTTTATTTTTTTTATTTATTTAGTGATTTCAAACAGCAATTTAAGTATTTTGGTTAAAGAAAATCAACTTTAGTTGTGTAAGTAAAGTTATTTAACAGGTTTGATAATATGTGCATATAAAGGTTTATTATGATTGATTAATAGTTGTAAAGTTATGCATATTTTTTATCATTATATTATCTCATGAATTTTTTATTTTTATTTTTTATCTTTACAGTGACTTCAAAGAGCGATTTAAGTATTTTGGTCAAAGAAAATCAACTTTGATCACATAAGTGAAATTATTCAGTGAGTTCGAAAATATGTGCATACAAAATCATATTATTATTGGATTAATAGTTGTAAAGTTATACACGTTTATCATAATTATATTATCTTATAGATTTTTTAATTTTTATTTTTTATTCGTACAGTAACTTTAAAGAGCAATTTAAGTATTTTGGTCAAAGGAAATCAACTTTAGTCACGTAAGTAAAGTTGTTCAGCAGATTCAAAAATATATGTATATAAAATTTATTATTATTGGATTAATAGTTGTAAAGTTATGAACATTTTTTGTAATTGTATTAGTAATCATCAGATTTGCAGATTTATCGTAACTTGTAATTTTAAATTCTGCAGTTAAAATGATTATATTAGTATCTTTTTTTTTTGAAAAATAATCAAATGTAAAAATGAATCAATATTTTTTTATATTTTTTTAAAAAAATATTAAACAAAATTAATAATTCTTTAGTTTCCTTTTTTAGATAGGTCAGGTCAAGTCAGGTCAAATGTATATTTAATTCAAGTCAATTTTATGTCTGACCTGACCTAACTTTATCAGGTTGGGTTAAGTCAATTACCCGACCTGATCCGACTTGTTCAGAGCTCTACTTCTACTCTTACTTTATTATTATATTGGATTTCTAAACTTTTTTGATAGAAAAATATGGCATAATTTTTTTAGGTATATTTGTTGAATCATATTTTGATGATTCGCATAATGAGCAACTTTGAAAAGATTCATAAATTTTAGTGTAATATATACAAGAATTTTCACACATATCATAAATAATAGGAACAGTTTTGTTAACCTTTCTAATAATTTTTTAACCTTATATAGTCAAACCTTGATATAGCAAACCTTTGATATAGCGAATTTTTAAATCAAATATATTAAAATTACCTTTACTATAGTGAACTAGCCAATTAAATTCTTTAAAAAATTCGTTATAAGCTTATAACGAAGTTGATATCCAGATCCTAGAATTTGTTATATCAAGAGTTCACTGTATTATAATTTACTTAACTTTGATAAAAAGAAATTGTTCATATAATTTAGATCATTATCTGTAGTTAAAAAAGAAATATTATTAAAAAAAAAATTATGCCTGCTACTAAAGAGAAAATATGTTATTAAAGAAGAACTTATTATTTTTTAAAAAAAAAAATGTTATTATTGTTATTCTGTAATTATTTTAAATACAATCCTATTAGCCAATAACTTAATTAACTTAATTGGCTCAAAATTTGAAAAACTAGCCAATCATGTAAATTTACTCTGTGCTACCTTAACAGTTTTTGTTTAAATTTTGGAAATGCGTTTTTAATGCTTTTAATGCAACAAAAATGCCTCGCCGTAGAAAGGATAAAGAGTTTGACGACGGGTTGGATTCCTCGTCAGAAAGTGAGAAAGAATTGTCTGAAATCTCGGACACTCTTTTATTGGAAGAAAGAGAATTGTTTGAAAGTAAGATAATCAAATTTTAATGGTTTCGTTTTTGTTCGAAATTTAACAGATCTTTATTCATTTTATTCATAGATCCTTCACGCAAACGCCGCAAATTCACAAAGGAAGATGCATACCTAGGAATTTGGGCAGAGCCTGACGAAGCTGATCGATCTATTCGACCAAATCGTAAGAAAAGGTAAGTTAAAATAATAATAATTTATTATATATAAATCATAATTTTCCTCGTTAACATTTATATTATTATTTACATAGAGACGTACAATTTGTTTCTTCGGCTTCGAGACCAGTTACAGTCGAGGATGATGAAACAGTCGACTATGCATATACGGATCATTCAAGTGGAGAGGATGTAGAAGCCAAAAAAAATAATGCAAAAAACGTAACAAATATATCTGATTCTATTGCTGATAATTCCAATACTGTCATGGAAGAAAATATTGAAGGATATGTAGGCCTTGGTCTAAATTCTTCACTTAATATTCAATTTTCATCTACGAAAGGGAAAGGTTCACAAAAATCTAATGACTCTTCAAAGAAACGAGTTGATAAAAATTTTGGAAGCTTTGAGAAACATACGAAAGGAATTGGTCTGAAATTAATGATGAAATATGGTTATAAAATAGTAGGTGGAAAATTATAATGCCATTAATTTAATTATATATTGGTTGAATATTTATTCAAAAAAACTTAAATATTTTATATTATTTAGGGTGAAGGTTTGGGTTCAGAGAGAAGCGGTATTGTAAACCCAATTGAGACTCAATTGCGTCCCGCGAGGATGGGATTAGCATATCAAGGATTTAAAGAAAAGAATAAACAAACCAAAGAAGCAGAAAAAAGGCAAGTGTAAAGTAATTATTATTTATTTTCAAATAACTGCTTCTAATCATATTTTGTTCGTTTATTCATTAGAAATGGTTTAGTTGAGGATGAAGAAGAAATTAGTATCAAATCGGTTAAAAAAGAAAAAAGTAATGCATGGAAGAAATCTGCAAAGACTAAAAAGCCCAAAATCGCTTACAAGACTGCAGATGAAATTATCAACGAAATTGGTTTAAGCTCATCGATACAACCAATCAAAATTATTGATATGACCGGTCCACAGGTAGGTAATTTGTTTTTTCACTTTAAATTATTTGGTTTTGTAGCTCTTTTCTTTAATTTTATTAAATCGACTGCAGGTTCGCGAACTTTCTTCGACTAGCCAAATCTCCTCACTAGCAATTCCGGACACGTCTACACGGTTACCAGAATTGCGTCATAATCTTCGGTTAATCGTTGATATTTCTAAAGCGGACTTGGAACATTTCACGAGAGAGCGGCGTATACAAACCGAACGAACTAAGGTATTGAAAAAGGATAAAATTATAGCAACGGAACAAGTCGATGATGAAAAAAGAAGTAAATTACATCATTTATTAAATAGTAGCGAGAAAACAACTCATTAAGATATATTGTTAACTTAATTAAATATATGATTTTTTATAGAGATAAGTCGTCTTGGAGAAATAATATCAATTATTAAAGAATGTAGTATGCGGCTTACCCTTTCCTTATCAAACGGTTCTCTTTCATTAAAAGATTTTTATGCTCCCTTTGACAAAATACAAAGTGAATATGTCAATGAATTCACTACTTATAATTTAGATGCTGCTATAATTGCAATAATTACTCCTGTGGTAAGTATAATTTAATATCATATGTTTCTTCTTCCTAGTATATATAAAAAGAGATATATATATATATCAAATTTATTTTCATAGATTAAACAAAATATGATCGATTGGAATCCTTTAAAATCTCCTGATTTCTGTGTATTAGATTTTTTAAAATGGAAAGATTTATTCAGGACAAGTCCACCTATAACTAATGCTCCACTATTAGATGATGATAGGTTTAATTATAATTCTTCAAGCCAGCGTCCTAGGTAATATGATCGAATATTTCCCATTTAGATATGGAATAACAACGATTATTTATATAATTAGTCCTTTTATTTTTAGTGAAATTACCATGACACCTTACGAAAGTATGATGTACAATGTTTGGCTTCCCAAAATTAGATCCGAAATCAAGTAAGAATTGAAGATTTTTCATTTTTAATATATTTAATACTTTAATATATTAATAAGTGATTAAATTGTATTTTATTGAACCTACAAGTAATAATTGGAATGCCCGAGATTGTGACGCACCAATAACACTACTCGAATGTTGGAAACCACCCTTGTTGCCAATGTTTATTTATGATAATATTATAGATCAGCTTATTATGCCAAAATTGACGAGAGAGGTGGATGCTTGGAACCCAAATACTGATACGCAAATGATACATCAATGGCTGCATCCTTGGCTTCCTATATTAGGTGAACGGATGGAACCTTTATATCTGACCATTCGCCAAAAATTCCGATCATCTTTACAAAGGTGGGATCCGATTGATACAAGTGCATTTGACATTATAGAACCTTGGAAAAATGTTTGTATATAATTTCATGAATATTAATCTATATTTGATCAGATGAGCTTGATAAATAACAATTATATATGTTTAACAGGTTTTCAAGCCGGAAGACATGCAATCACTCCTAGTTAAAGCTATATTACCAAAACTTACAGACACCATGAAAACAAAACTTCAGATAAACCCAAAAAAACAGGAATTAGGTTAATATAATATTCATATATAATATGTCAGTTCTTATAAATAATATTTTTCAAACTTTTTATAAATCGTTTTCAGAAGCTTTCAATAGTATCATGACGTGGCGAGATTTATTCACTCCTAAAGCTTTTAACCAGTTATTTGAAGACACATTCTTTCCAAAATGGTTGAATGTATTATATATTTGGCTGACTCATAATCCTAATTATGGTGAGATACGACAATGGTAAGTCGTTTTTTGAAACTTTCACTATTATAATACATGTAATAATACTAAGGATCATCTAATATTATGCATTTTATAGGTATCTTTTCTGGAAGTTACTGTTTCCTAAAGAAATGTTTGACAGTCCGATAATTGAAGAACAGTTTATGAGGGCGTTATATATGATCGAAGAAAGTATATCTTTAGGAAGAGATGCGCCTATCAGGTTTTTTTTCTTTATACACTCGCAGTCATAATTTTTTGTATTGCATTTCTTACTTTTTTTACTAATTTCTTTAATTATTTTGATAGGTTGACTCATCCATCTCAGCAAAATACAATACCAGAACCAGAACAATTCAGATTTCCATCTGAAAAGACTGTTACAGATATTGTAGATATTACCTTTTTCGAAATTGTGGAGGAGTTTGCTCAAGAAAAGAACTTTTTGTTTTTACCAACCAACAAAATTCACGACTCTGGAAAGCCGTTATTTCGTATGGGTTGTACTTCAGAAGGGATTGGCGGCTTACTTATGTACTTAAGTGATGACGTTATGTATGTCAAGGAAGGTCAAAACTGGACACCAATGGGATTTGGAGAAGTTTTCGGGAAATTAGAAATCTTGAACCGTCGACTTTGATTAAGGCTAAACTTTTAAAGAAGCTTATTAAATTTTCCTATATTTTTTTTACCAAAGATAAAAAATTTAAAAAACTAAGAAACTTTTTTGGCTAATCAAGAATGCAATTAGTATAGTTAAATCACTTTCAATTAAAATTTATAATATATCATAACCTATTACATAACCTGTCATTTAATCCAGCTTAATCTTAAGATTTGTCTTTATTTATATTTTATATTAGACTTTGAAAGAAACAATTAAATAATAGAATTTAAATGTTTTACAAATCATGTATACAAGTTAATAATAAATATGAAAATAATAATAATTATGTAAAATTGCATTTTTTATATATATATTTATATTTATCATTTATAATATAAAATATATACTTGTGTAAATATATTTATATTAAATTTTATATTATAACTAATTTCATAATTTCTTGAATCACTAATAAATTGAAACTGATATTTTTTTTTAGAAATATAAATAATACAAATTAATTAAATATTTTATTTATCATATTTGAATTAATATTTATTTCAAATAATATAAATTGATTTTACAGCTAATTTTATAATTCCTTAATCACTAATAATTGGAGACTGAATGAGACTGAAAATTTTATAATGAAATTATTATAAGATATAATAATTATATATAACTGATTGTCACTAAAAAATTATTAGTAATTCAGGAATTATGAAATTAATTATAAAAATTTTAAAAATATATAATAAAATTTAATAATAAAATTATATATTTTGGTTTAATTATTAATTAATTTTATATTGATTATATATATAAATTTTATAATAAAGGTCAATATTTAGCTAATCACATTATTTTGAAAAAATTAAAATGTTTAAATTATATAATCAATTTTAATAATTATGCTAAAAAATTATATTTTTTAAAAAATATTAATTTAAATAACAGATAGTTAACATTATCAGATCATGTGATATAATAATTTATCATACTATATTACATTTTCTCCTTTCTATTAAAAAGTCCAGGAGAAACCATTCAGGTTACATAAAATTTCAATATTGTCACATGTATCTGACCAATAAAATTTTCAAATTTTCAATATTATCTCATCATGATTACCACGTAATTACACAAATTTTTAAATTTAGAAAGGATAATTCTGATTACTTTATGCTTAATTCCTAGATAAAATTAATCAAATTAAATATTAGCTTAAATATTGATAAGTGATTAACTCGAAACATTGATTGATTCAAACTTTGTATAAAAAATCTTTATTTATTATTTTTATTATTGTAACAAAATTTGTTTATATATATTATATAATAAAATAAAAAAAATTACATCTCTAAAAATAATGGTTTTGTGTGTTCTAATAAATTCTCTATTACTACCATATTATGCGTTACTTGTTCTACATTACTCAAATCATCTTCATCTACATTTTTAATATTATCATTAATGGATTCATTTTCAACCTTTCCTTCCTTTACTAAACTTGTCATCAATGCATTGACATTATTCTTAACCTCTCTTTGAAGATAATCTAAACATATAAAACATTTAAACTGACTCTTTTGCAAGCAAATATTATGATAATCATGATCACATATCAGAACATTGCTATCATATGAATTGCTATTACATTTATGTAATCACATAAAATAGTAGTATTGGGTTTTTAGAAGTAACGAAGCCCCTTAGAAGATAACAATCAGTTACTTCATAACCTAATAAAGGAAGTTTATATGTGTTAATACTATCAGATGAATATTTAACAAATAAAGAATACTGATCACGCGTTTGATATATTTTCGTGAATATGTCTAAAAGCAATATAGCATACTTCTTTGAAAGCATATGCAATTGCTTTAGTGTATGTAGATATTTTACAGAATTTACAAAATGTTGTTAAAAAGCATTATCTTCTCGATGCTGAAATATAAAGTATGTCTTCTTTCGTAATTGTTCAACCATAGAAAACTTAACAATACATCGGCAAATAATACTGTAAACGATTTCTACAAAACAATCACTTAGGGAAGCAAGATTATTAGTAAACATGCTAATTATTAGATGATTAGTTTCCATCCAATAAAAAATGTCAGAGAAAAACATCAAAGGAGCTCACTTATAATTTCTTTGATCAAACTGAAGAAAAAGATCGCTTCAACAACATATACAAGCCTCTTCATAAACTGCTAATTTCCTTTTTGATGGTATACTGCATAAACATCAAGAACTAAAGGAATTAAATTGCTGAACATATCAGTTAAATACAAAAATTCAATATTCTTGCATGTATGGCCAAATTTTGAATAAATAACTTCAATGATATCAAGCTATGCCACTCGTACGATATGAAGAATCAGATCGATTCTTCATGGTCGTGGCTTTTTATTAAGATCCTTATATGTACCAAATATGCTTTATAAATATCATTGAATAAAATGAATTTTTTAAAAAAAACAAGTTCATAGCCATTTAAAGACACGTGAAGAGGATACATCATAAGTATACATGAAGTCGAAATAGATCATTTCAGATATCCAAAATGGTCGAAATAGTTGAAATCATTTCGACCATTGGAGGCTAAAGTCGCGAAATAGTCAAAATGACATCATATCACATGTTTTTTCATATTTAGAAAAAACAAAAAAAAACAAAAGATGTACAATCTCGGTCAATATCGCACCGATTCACATGAAACAACTACCATTCGATTCCTCGAAACTAGGCGGATCCAATGAGCTAACATTTATTGATTTCGGATTATCCAATCACGAGATACTCGTAATTGTATTATCGGCCGAAATTATAAATCCATAAACTCTACTTTAAATAAAGGAATCTGGATTTCGAAATACGATCGCAAATATCTCGAGATGGGATAATCCAAATTCAATTTATGTTAGCTCATTGGATTCGTCTAGTCGCGAGGAATCAAATGGTAGTTGTTTCATACGAATCGAAGCAATATTGACCGAGATCGTACAT